TCAGGTAGTTGCCAAGGCAACATTTCTAATTTTAATTTTGTTTAACTTGATGTGCTAAAATAACTAAAACTAAAAAAATTAAAAAGAAATGAGAAAACTACTAAAAGTGACAAAAACATACAAATAACAAAAATAATTAAATTTGTATTCATATTTCGTATTTCAGCTATTTTAAGCAAGTTAATCTAAAATGCTTTTTTTGTGACGTTCAATACAACAGTGTTTCACGTTTCTATGATTCAAGCTCATATTTCTAAAATAATGAATAGTTATACTGTTGTTATATCACATAACATTTAGCTTTTGTTTTTCAAACTTTAAAGAAAAAAACATTTTGTGAAATGTTTGGTTTGAAAAAAAAAATGTGGCTGTGCTTGAACTATTCTTTTAACTTTCTTTAAAATATATAACAACTGGTTTGATATTTTGTATCTAATGCAGTTACATTCTGACATTTTTAAGCGTGACTCGAGTATGTTTATGTTTAATGTTCAAGTGTGAATGTTTACATTTATATTCCTGCTGGGGCTTTAAAACAGGAACGTCCTATCTTAATTCTTGACTTAAGATTTGAAAAAGTTCTATTTCCTAAGTGAAGTGACCATGTTTACAAAACAGATGTTGGATGGACAGCCCCTGCTCTTCATCATCTAGCTGAGAAACAGAGCCTGTGTGATTTCCGCCTGAGCTCCGTCTTTCAACACAGAGCAGGATTCAGAAGTGCTGCTCATTGAAATTCTAGGCTTTTGTGAAGGATCATGCAGTCACTGTGTTCCCGCCGGGAGTCCTGTCACCTCGAAAAGCTCTCTCCCAAACCGTTCACTCATGTCAGACCCTGCTGTAGTTTCTGTGGTTTTGCCATCGTTTGATATTGCAGTACTGGTCTGTCATTGAAGACCACCTGTGCTGTCTGCCATGCGCTTCTGCATTATGAATACTAATGAGTCATTCCATTAAAGGGATCCTGTCATCATTTATTCACCCTCAAGTTGTTTCAAACCTGTATGAGTTTATTTCTTCTGTTGAACATAAAATACATTTTTTTGAGAAAGAAAAAAAGTTGATGGTCCCCATTGACTTCCATAATATGTTTTTCCATACTATGGAAGTCAATGGGGACCATCAACTGTTTGATTACCCATATTCTTCAAGATATCATCTTTTGTGTTCAGCAGACAAAAGAAACTCATACAGGTTTGGAACAACTTGAGGGTGAGTACATGATGACAGGATTTTCATTTTTGGGTGAACTATCCCTTTGACTGCAGACGGATGACATGCATTGATTATGTAGTCATTTTAAAGTCCCATAAGTGAAGAAAAATCTCTGATACAGTGTCTGTACGACATTATACGAGCAGATTTGGGCCTTTTACAGAAAAATCAATATGGCTTTATGTTTCCATCCATGTACTATTTGCTTTATTTGCAAATGTTTTATATGCTTTTCTAAAATTCCTCACAAGTTAAATTTGCAACTTTGAAAGGAAACACAGCTAATATGGCTCAAACTTTCTTTAAAAGCTTAAATAATGTCATGTTATGGTGAAATATGGCATTTGCAATGTGCCTTAAAGGCAGAGTTGACCCAAAAAGGAAAATTCTGTCATCATTTACTTGTTCCAAACCTTTCTTTGTTCTTCTAAACACGAAAGAAGATATTTTGAACAATATCAGTAATCAACAGTTGCTGGCTGCCATTGACTTCCAGTGTATTTTATTTCCCCCCATACAATGAAAGTCAATGGCTACCATCAACTGTTCAACAGAAGAAAGAAGCTCATACAGGTTTAGAACAAGTAAATGATGACAGTTTTCAATTTTGGGTGAACTATCCCTTTAAGTCATTAAACTCACACACACACTGAGTTTAATACAGTAAGTTGCTGCATTGCTTTGCAACCGCAAACAGCCTGCAATTTTAAGTAATGAACTATACTATTTGGAGAAGAATAATGGTGATAATTGCTAACAATAATAACATTTGATAAATGCAAATATTTACTGAACTTTCTGAACAGTCGTCTTTTATCATATCACTATTGCATTTTTACATTTTACCAAAGCTCAAAAGCAAATTCCCAACACCCCTTCTCTTTAAAAATGTTGCAGTTATTAAGACCTCTCTATTAACTGACTCTAATGTCGGATGTGTGTTCTTGTCTGCAGGGATAGAGCTGTGTCTGCCGGGATGGCGTTTCTCCATGACCATGGTGGCAAACTTCATGGTGTTGGCGGGGCAGCTGCTCATGCCGGGACTGGCAGTCCTCTGTCGCGACTGGCAGATTCTCCAAGTAGTCGTAATCTGCCCTCTCTTACTCATGCTGTCCTATATCTGGTAAGCAACCGTGCCATGGCTGTTCAAAAATAAGATTGTGTTTGACTGTTCTTAAAACCAAAATTTGACCTGTTTACAGTCACGGTGAGTTTACAGTAACAGACTTCAGCTGCTGAAAAAGGCATTGCACTACTGTTTCCACTCTTCTTTATTAAGCAGCATAATCATTTTCAGCTGTGCGGATCATGCAGAAAGTTGCTTACGAACCAAATAAGCACATACCAAATATGTTTTTATAGTAGTTTGGCGTAACGACTGCTAAAAATGGGCTTTGCATCTCAGATAAACGTAAAATTAAAAATTTCCAAAAAGAAAATACTTCAAATAATCATACATTTTCTGTTTTTTTCACATAAAAGCAAACGTTTTCAGGTACTGATGCCATTGTAAAAATGCATCAAGCATGATTAATATATTCTATGAGAAAAATTGTCCAAAATCAGGTTACCGTAACAATGCAAGTAATTCAACTGATGACCCACTTTGTGTAAAATAAAAGCGCTTTATAAAACCTCTAATATGACTGTAGACTTCTCATTCTCTTCTCATGTCAGTATACAAATGAACTTTTATATAACTAACAAGTGGTAGATGGAATAAGATGAATGCCGTGACAATATGCTATATGAAATAATCATAGTATAAGAAGAAGGTTTTTTAGTTCTTTCACATCTAATAATGATCGAGTTGTTTTTACTAGGTGCTGTTTATGTATTTTATGTCTTACATTTTTTAATATAGTTCTTTGCAACTTGTTGTTTCACTTTGTTTTTGCCGTGAAGATAGCCTTGCTGTTGACATGGCCTTTAAAAAATCAGTGAATGAACAATGTCAGTGTACATGATTTAAATGTACAGTATGCAACATTTGTATATAACAATTTCCTTATGTTTAGAACATTTTCATTTACATAAAATGAATTGGGATATTGTGGTAGTAGAAGGATTTTGTCACCATATGAGACATGAAAAAGCTACTGCTAGTAGTAGGGATGATACATTTCTCACCACATCAATGAATGTTTACTTTGATCTTTGTGATCAATTTTGTAACAGTTGCTTTGTTTCAGTGTTTTTAGTTCTTTATTCAGCAGCTAACTTTCAATGATAATGCTCTGTTTTAAGTGTTTAGCCCAAAATAGATGTGGCAAAGTATATCTGTTTTCATTCATCAGGATTTTTCCGGAGTCTCTGCGCTGGCTGCTTGCGACGCAGCAGTACAGTCGCTCCAAATGGATCATGGAGCGCGTCGCGAAAAAGAACAACATCAATCTAGAGGAGGACGCAGAGGAGCTCATGACAGGTACACAACCAAAGAGAAAACAAACGCTGGACTTTTATAAGGTTTATAATGTGAAAGGTTTAGAACTAGTGATCCCAACAGCTTATAGCTTTAATATAATAACCATCTGTTTAAGATGAGTTCTAAATTGGAAAAATGCATGCTGCAAAATATCAGAACAAAATCTGAAAATGGCTAAAAACATGATTTATCAGTCCAGAGAAAACAATTGCAACCATCCTCCCATAAAAATCAATCAATCAATCAATGTAGGATTCTTTCTAGATTTAGATGCAAATGCAATGCAAACTAGTTTTTGACGTCTTCAAAATACAAACCTATACCACTTCAGATTCTATGGCCAACAAAGTGCGGCTTCATTCAGCTCATATTTAATTTACGAAATAATTTTGCGATGACTCGGTTCACATGTAGGCCTGTTCCCTATTTTTCATAATGCATTTAAATGTCTAACTAATTCACCATTATTTATATTCTTCCTCGTGTTGTTCAACACTGGTATGGCTTTCTTCTGTGGAACACAAAACCGGTTTTGCTAACCAGACGTCTATCCCACATCCTCCCTTTACTAGACCTGAGTCACCGTCAGACGGAGACGTGCACAATCTAAAGTCAACAGTTAGTTGTGTTCGTGGCTCTGGCTGCTGGCAGTGTAAACATTTCAGGAGCAAAGTGCCCTACAAAGGCGAAACCTAGTAACTACACCTCGTTTTTGTCATCTAGCACGTGAAAGCTTGCAACCATTGAATGCATTAATTGTCCCAACGTTTAACACTTTAAAACACTTTCTTTTTTTTTTTTGTTAAATAAGTGCATCATTTAACTTAATATAAAAATTAGTGACATGCAGTGACAACCAACAGCAGCTAAAGGCAGCGTAAAATCAAAATTCACTTAATGCATTTTAGTGGTCCTATTTGTATGCAATTAAATTCATGCATATTTTAAATAATATGACCTCATTATCTTTGATCAAAACGTCATTACTTGATCTTCCTGTGATATTACTTCGATCTGCTGGTGTTTGTCAGACTGTGCTGCATCTAAGCCGGTTTCATTCTTATCTGCATACATTACATTATGCAGTGCTTGCTTTTCAAAGTCCTATAAGCAACAATTATTTCTTGTTCGACACAATATGGTAGTAAAGTCGGTCATAGTAAACTTCCTTTTCATGTCTACTTGAAGACATTAGAGCACACTGATGCATTTGTGATCTTGTGATCGTTCAAACCATAAGAATCAATTGGTGACATTCATCATGCATTGGTGATCGTTGTTCATGATATGATGTATTATGCACAGCTGCAATTTATATACAAAATTCTTTCTCGTCAAGAATGTGGCATTTGAATGTGAAGAAAACAGACTTCTTGTCAAAATGATTGAAGGCAATGTAATCCCATTTGTTATCCCATAAATACGGTGGCCGAGAAGTGCAAAACAAATCACAATTCTGAAAACAAAATAACAAATTACAAACGCAAATGCAAGTCTAAAAAACAAAATAACAATTCAGAAAACACAACAACAATTCAGAAAACATTATAACAAGTCAGAAAACACAATAACAAATTCTAAAACAAAATAAGTCAGAAAGCACAACGACAAATCCGAAAACAAATTAACAAGTCAGAAAACACAACGACAAATCAGACAAACCGGAAGAGGTAGGTATAGTTTGAGACAGCGCCATTGGTTTGGGATTACTCACCGCTGACTGGACGAGACATCTGTCAATCAACGTATACAGGAAGAACCAGCCGAAGAACAGCAGAGTCGTGGTAGAAAGTTCGGAGATGGTATTAAAGTAGCTCAGTTTAAATGTATTGTATGAATTGCCCTTACTATGGAATAAAAAATACGGAGTGTATATTTACATTTAGTTAAAAGTGGCTGTGAAACATCAGCTCCAGTGGCGCAGATGGATAAGCGCGTGTCGTCGGCTTTTTGACGCGATCGACCCGGGTTGGATCCCGCTTTTTGCCGAACTTTTTTTCCCTCCCTTTTCAAATCTCATATTAGCCCACCGTACATAAACCTCATGTTTTGTCTGAAATGTTTGATTAAGCACTTTGTTTTCTGCACTGATTTCAGAGCTGAACCAAGCCCTGCCAAAGCAACCCAAGAAGACATGCATTGTGAAGATGGTTGGCACAAGGAACCTGTGGAAGAATTTAGTAGTGCTCTGCGTCAACTCGTAAATATCTTTATATTATGCATATGAGTGACAGTCGTGACTGTGGATGTTTATTAATTATTAAAAACATTCTGCTGATATTAAAGGGGTAGTTCACCCAAAAATGTAAATTCTGCCATTTACTCGCACTCATTTAAAAAAAACAAAACTTCGAAAATCCAACAAGGTCATAAAGGCATCGTAAAATGATTCCTTATGAGCTATTGAATTAAAGGCTTTTTAAGATAAACAGCTTTAATAACTTTTAGGATCTTGTAAGTTTAGGTTTCCTGGACTTTCAGTGGAGGGACAGAAACCTCTTAGGTTTCATTAACCCTCTTAACGCATTCGGGTCCGTTTTTAACCGTACGAGAGAGACACAAAATATCTAAAGAAAAAAAAATGCATAGCTTTTCATAAGGGAAAGAAACTTTGCATATACTCAGATCCTCAAAATACACATTGTTTATTTTTTCAGATTTTGTACTTTTTTTTTTTTTAATCATTTAAAAAAAAAAAGCTATGTTTCGTGTTTGGGTCATTTTGGACCTGAGTATGTATGGAGTAATATTAGGTGTCAAAAACTTACTTTTAAAAAACGTAATTTTACTTTCTGTAAAATTATCTAGTGTAAAAAAAAAACTTTTGCTATTTTTTTTTTTGTTTTTTTGGTTGTGGTTCATATTAGGGATGGGCGATGTAATCAAAATCTTATTTCAGAGTATGAGAATTTTATTTCACGATATATATCTCAACATAGCTTTTTTAATTTTATTTTTGTTGTTAAAAACAGGAAGAAGCAAATTACAAACACAATAGAACAAAAATACAAATTAAATAAACTTGAGTTTTTCGTCTTCAGTAGGTTTTTTAACATGTAGTAAGAAATACTACAGAAATTGAAGTGTATACCTAAAACACTGCATAGTCTTCACTGTATCAATCAAATATGAATTGATTCTTTTTTTTTTATAATTCAACTGTTTTTTATTGTCCAACAGTCAAAAAGCTCATATCGCACTGTACATCGTCACAGTATTCCATAGTCGCCTTAACAGTTACATATTTAGCCACTTGTCATCATCAGTGAGAAATAAACAACAGAAAAATACATGGAAATTAAGACGGTTGTCACACAGTCCTGCTCATCTATCCCATTTTTATATGTTGCCAGAAATGATCCCACGTTATTTGCATTTCAGACTCCCCAACACACACTCATATGAAGCAATTTCAATCATCCCATTAATCCAGTCTTTCAATTCTGGTGTTCTGGGACATTTCCAGTTGCGTAAAATCATTCCGGCAGCCGTAATACAACCAATCTTAAGAAGAATAAGTGCATTTTTTGCTAAGTTGGGTACCACTGATTTATTTAAAGATTCAAAAGTGATTCAGTCAAGAGCAGTGAGTGATTTTCTCTGTCTTTTATTGTTTTAATAACATTAATGACACAGAAAGCAGCATGTAAATTAGGCCGCTGTCCCTTTAAGACAGACTGCACGGATCCAATATACTAAAACATATCCGGTCTTTTTATGTTATGTTTTAGTATACTGTGTTTACGTGAATACTCCACGCGACGGGAATTTTGACAATTATGTGTGTATTTGACCATTCAAGCACAATAAGACGTGAAAGAGAACTGAATTCGCGATCGCATGCTATCTGAGAGAGACACTGTCTGTGCTCGCTCCTCAGGTGTATCTCAGAGTTCTTTTTCACTGCTTATTGTGCTTAATAACTGTATTGTGCACGTCCCAAATTCGCGATCGCATGCTGCTTTGGCTATGTGTTCGATGGTCACCATGAGCACTGCATTGAGTTCTTCACTGCATACTGCACTTAATAACTCTATTTAACATCTAAAAGTGTCCCACTCTTTATTTTCACATTCATGCATGATTCTTTATCACATTATGTCAGGTGTATATAACTTTTAAGTAGTACTACGTGGATATATTTGCATACTGCGAAATAAACAATATAGCAGAATCCGTAGCTGTAGACACTTTATACCGTAACGATATACAGAAAGAAGATTACAACTAAACATTTTGGAGGGTTACAGCTGTCAGAAATGAGTAGGAAGTGTAGAAGCTGCTGCTTTGAATGACTTCAGCATCTCTAGTTTTTCACACTGCGCTGGTGTGATCTTGGTCCACTCTTCTTCTTCCATAGTTCGGTGATTGTAGTGGGTTTCTTATTCATAACTTTGTCGCCAAGGATTTTGGTTTAGATCTGGTTTAGATCGGGGCTCTAGGCTGATTGGGAGATGCTTGACTCAGAATGCAAAAAGTAGTGTACAGATCTGGAATGCATTATGAGGGTTAATTCTTTATTTGTGTTTTGAAGTCTTTTGGGTTTGGAAAGGCTTGAGGGTGAGTAAATGAAGGCAGAATAAAAAATTTTAACTCTTTAACTCTGGCATTCAAAAACCTCTTTTTGTCTCCATCTTTCAGACTGACGGGTTACGGCATACACCACTGCTTTGCACGCAGCCTGATGGAGAAGGAAGACCAGCCCATGTTCTCTAATTTCTATGCCAAATACTACTCCATGGGGGGCATTGCTGTGGCATCATGCGTGGCGCTTTGCCCTGCCGTGGGCATGATGGGCCGGCGCGGGGGACTCCTCATGTTTATGATCATCACAGCCCTGGCATCTCTCCTTCAGCTCGGCCTGCTAAACTGTGAGAGAACACACAAATCACAAACACACACCGCTAGCACTGGACCCTCTGTTGGGGCTTGAACCGAATCAAACAGAATGACTGTCACACCATTTAAGTGATTAAGCTCTTTAACACATCTGAGTTTCCGCTGGAGAAGGCGGCTCATGTGGCCACGTAAACACACTGTATATGCTTCATTCTTATAGGTTTTTTAAAAAGTGTGCATATGCATGGAAAAGACAAGGAACAGAAATCAATGAGATCTTTATATCAGTATAACAGACTACTTACATAAAATGATTAGTAAAATAAATATCGTCGTCAGTCGTCACTCTGTATCTCCAATAAAGTCTTAGTAAGATGATATTTAAATACTTAGATTGATGATCAAAACAAATTAATGAAAGGGCTTCATTGGATTTCATCCCTGATCATTTGAAGCATACTGAGTTTACATTTTATAAGCACACATGCATATATTTAATTACTAGCCACGAGCTGCAAACTACTTTACTTTCTCATTTATTTTTTTTCCCTCTATGTGATCCGTCCATGATGAATGAAGTGGTGGGGAAGTACGGCGACATTATAAATATTGGTAAAGTATAAACAATATGCTATTTATGCAAATTTTTCATTATTGCTCTGTTTCATGTTAACTATTTTTTGGGCAATTCTTTCAATGTTAAAATATCACCTATGCTAGTTTAATATGCAGAAGAAACTAAAAATAAGACAATTACAGGTTTCATTAAAAAGTGTAAAGCACTGTGGTGCTCTCAAAACAGTGTGAGTGTGTGAGTGTGTGAGTGTGTGTGTGTTTGTGTGTGTGAGAGAGTGTGTGTGTGAGAGAGTGTGTGTGTGTGTGTGTGTGTGTGTGTGTGTGTGTGTGTGTGT